AAGATAGACGCCAGGAGTTAGTTTCTCACATAACTTAGGAAAAAGGCTAGGAGGTCGGTAGGATTATGCCTAAATTTAAAATGTGTGTGTGACTATATACAGACATATATGTCTATATATATTAATATATCTTACTCCTTCGATACTAGTTTTAAGAATTCCTCTAGAATGATGTAAGATTATATTAAAACCTAGGAGACTAAATCTCCTTTATTCTTCTGTCTCCCTTCTCTTTTTAGCAGTGTGAGAGACTGGAATTTAGTTTTCTTCCCCATCCAAAAAACTTGTGGAGCCTTCTCCCTAAACTTAATGCATCTTAAAGCTATGTACAAAAAGTCCTGCACACCTGTCCTTGCTCATGTCCTCAAAAGGAACTCAACTTTCTGGTCCTATACTTGCTAGAAACTTAACGCTTTTGGGCTGGCCTAAGGGATGCAACAGAAAAGGTCACATAGCCTGAATCAACATCAGTATTTATTTTCATTGAATGTTTTGTTTGGGCCACTTTCTGTCCATGTATTCTTTGAGTATTCACAAGTTCCTTCAGGTAACTGGAAATGAAGGTCTTCAGAAAGGGAAGATTTTAGCTTACGGTTTGCTAGATGGAATTCTGAGGATTTATATTTTCAAGCTATGTCAGTTTTGGGTAGGAAAAGTATCTGGCCATGTAAATTTGTGGGCTGAGCCCAAGAATTATGTTGTTGGTTTTCCCCAAAATCATGACCCTAAATCTGCTAACAAGTGAGTATATCATGGTCAGATGGCTGAAACGCTGGTAGACTTCTATACAGTCCGCCCACTCTTGCGACAAGTATATGCTGTATAGTGCTTTGCCGCTTGTATTTGACTTCAAACAAGAAAAATCACATCTATGTATTTTACAGAAATCTGTTCTAGAGGAGTGACTTTATCAGCCTTATTTTTACTGTCTAGTTCATATATCAAAACCATAACTATATGCAAATTATACCTTAGAAATTTTGCCAGTTACAATAATAATCAAATGTTCCATGCATTTTTCATCGTTCATGAAGCTTTCTTATCTAAGCAAATTTTCTGTGTTTCTGTGGTAGATTTTTGGTGCTAGGTATATCTGTTAAAGTATATTTTGCAAGACAAAATAATAGGAGACTTAGCTTATGAGCATAATGGAAGTTTGATGTCATTTTGGTCTTATTTATCACAGATGGAAGACAACGCCTTCTGGGATGTAGATTCTTACCAAAGTATTATTCATTTATATTATCTCCAAGAGAATTCAATGTACACATGTAAATGGGATGTTGTTTTAACAAATAAATAACAAATACTTCATCAGAGCCGTATCAGTAAGCACCTGGCTACCTAACACCTCGTTTCTTGGCGAAACGGTAGGATTTAGAGTTGCTGTTAACTGGTACCCCAGAAGACTTACAGTCTAAATCACCTGCCTTTGCTTCCTCATAAATGTCTCGGTAGTAAAAAATGTCACTGAAAATCGTAACTGAAATTTCAAAAATTCCAGTTCTACTTACATTGCTTCCTTTGTTTATTTTCAGTCAGAGCTTGATTTTTTTTCCCCTTTTTCCCTTACAAAATTTGTCTTGTAAAAATAAATGCTTTCAGGAAGTTCAGATAGATTAATTTTTAATTTTTTAACTTTTTTTCCTAGAAAAGTTTTTGACGCTTACCTTTAATATATAAGAGGTTTCTTCTTTCATGGAAGGTTTCAATTTTTAAGATAGAATCACTTACAAAGAATTGTTTTGATCTGGGTTATGATTTTCCAGTCTCCTGGAGGAAAAAATAAATCTCTACCCAAAATTTCTAAAAAGGAGGGCAACTGCCTTTAAATATCATCAATATGAAGCTTATTCAGATTTGAAGATTTCCCAACTAGGATTCCCCTTAACTAATATTTAGCTCCACCACTGTGATGTGGCCTTGCAGGATTAAAAAAAAGAAAATTGTTTCCTCCTTATGTGCTTATGCATTCACAGGAGATCACTTGAAAACATGACTAACCTTAATATTTATTTAAGTCCCATTAAATTAATGTATCTGCTTAAGTAAAGTTACAAGCTCATTTCCTGAATCAGTTAGCTGTTTACTCTTTATGGTCAACTATATTTACTGCACTAGGGTGGAATTTACATGTACAACCTCAAGGCCTTACTTACATAATTTGTTCCTTCCACTTTGCTGGACGTTGCATTGCACTGAATTTCGTTAGCCAAAAGTGAAATGGAGGAAGATGTTTTTCTACAGAATCACAGTGTGCTCTCTATTTTTCTTTCTTGGTTGGCTAAGATGATTTATCCTCCTTTACCCGCAAAACCCCAGGGATGTTTCTGCGATATTTTAGAAGATGTTGGTGTAAAGGGTCAAGCTGAGGAAGGACACCAGTAAAGGACACCAGTAGGCCATTTCTCCATTATTTGTTTTTCCTATTCTGTGCCATAATTCAAACAGCACTCCTGATTTTGCCTATTTCACTTGTTGGCTTTTGGTTTAAAACATTAGAACAAGTTCATATTTAATTTTTATTCAAATGTCACAAAGCCAAAGATACTTCAGACTCTTTCATTTTATGTGGGTGTTTTTTCTACAATGTCTTAAGTATGGAATCTTGTGTGTAAATAATGGATGCCAGAAGAAACCATGTTTTCAACCATTTCTTCAGAATCCCACAATACTTACCACTAAGTCATTGATGTGTTACTAATGATAATGATCAAGATATTGCATATATTAGAGGATAAAACTGGATGCCTAGAAATTGAACTACAAGTAGTTAGAACGGTGTTAAAACTCTGTGTCCAGATCTTGCATTTTCTCTCACTTTCTCTTTTTTTCATTCTTACAGGTCTCTTGGTTTTTTGCTTAGATTTTTAGGCTTTAAAAATCTCAAGGACCTTAAGAAAATCCTGATTGAATTTGCAGAATTTCTCTGTATTTTATGACCTTAAACCAAACAAAGTAACCTGAAATTATAAGTCAAACTTTTTTTTAATTGTCCTCTAACTGCATGCTTTACAGCCTGACTCAAATCTTAGGTGTAACGCAGTCTGAGCCAACGCATGCTAACGTGGTTTCTGCAATGCTGGCAATAAATTCAATTTTGGACAGATAATGGAAATGCAACGTTTGTTACGTTCTTAAGGACAACGTTTCACATATGGATGTTTTGAAATATTAGGCATTTGTGCTTTATGAGTTCATATAGCTTTATCTCAGCAGACTCGCTTATCATGCCAAAAGTGTCTGTATAGCTTTAAGCAGGTGCCATTTGAAAATCATTAATCCTTTTTTCCTTGAGTGAACCTAGCAGCAGCTTATACAGGACTATCTATCTTCCACACAGTCCCTTGTGTAGTCAGTGCACTCCCCAGAGATCAGTGGCTCCTAATCGATAAGTCGAACCTTGCTGATGAGGTGGAAGATCCCTATTCCATGTAAAGAGCACTTCGTACACACCTTATCTTGCCAGAGCTACTGTGACTAGTTGGGAATAGGATGTTACTGGTTTTCCATGCAAAGCTGAGCTGTAAGAGGTGGGAAACTGTGCTATAGATAATACTAAAGTCTTTATCTCTAACAGATTAAATTACATGTCTGGGCATGTCATGTTGTTCTTCACTGCGAAAGGGGTCTTTATCTCTGTCTTTAGTTCTTAGGAATGTCAGTTCACAGGGCCTATAAATGCTAAGACCTAATCTCACGTGTTAATCTTTGTAAGAGTGGGTACTTCTCCCTTCTTGGTTTAGCTCACCATATTTCGCTTTTGGCTAGTGGCAGGCCTACTTAACAAAAGGATATCTTTTTTTTTAATTTACGACTGTTTGGGTGGGGTTTTTTTCACAAGGTTTTTCCATCAGAAATTCCAGCCCTATTGTCCATTTTATCCATGGCTTCTGAGCCATTCTGCCATAGAATGAGCCATTAGTACCTGCCTGTAATAAAAGGTTATAGGTGAAAATTAACAGCATATGAGGAAGTAAATGCATCAATATTATATCTTTTCAATTAATCAATATAAATTTACCTCCTATTTATAAAGCTGTGTTTGGCATAACAGTAGAGCATAATCACCAGTATGCTGGTTTACTAGATGTTAGTAGTTTCAAAGATCTGGTCATCCTTGGAGGGTTCCTAATGTACATACGTGTGTGCGTGTATGTATGTGTGAGTGAGTTGTAATTTACTTGTATTTTACAGTTGCTAATGTATTAGTGTAAGAGGAATTCCTCGAGAAAGCCATCATTTTGGAGTTTCTAGGTAGCAGGAAGAATATATAATGGTAACATTTCTACTCTTTCCTCTGTATTCCCTTTGTTTGAAGCCATCCAAAAGATCATGGCCTGTTTCAAGGCTCCAGAGTCAGTCTTCCAGTTGGCCTGGACCTATAAGTGAATATCATTTGCATCATATGTTTTGTCATCCACCTTTAAGATTGATTTATGAAAAACCTACCCTCTTGCATGGTTGCTGAGCTCTGATCATTCCTCCTCCACTTCTGCTTTCACTTTTTATTTCCATGATACTTGCTGCTGCTTTTTCTTCATCTTCACATCCTCCCTCTCTTCCTTGTCCCTGGGAATTTCTCCATTAAGTTTGAACTCTCCTGTTCACCATGAAGAGTCTGGTTCTATGGTTGAACAACCCTTCAGCACCGAGAGATCTTTTTAACCTTCTTCCACCTCCTTTTGAAACCACTTTTACACTTACTTTTCCCCCAGAATAATTTTAACAATTGTTTTCATATCATCATATCTTCCTTGGTCAAGTGACCGGTTGGAAAAAATACATTTACATCACAAAGTTATGTTACCTTGAGCAGCAGGGCAAGGCAGTAATAACACCTCTGAAGCCAGAATATACTTATGCTAATTATTGGCTTAGAGGTCCCTATATCTTTTAATTAGTTGTCCTATTATTACCCTAGAGTGCTTTAATTTTAAATGAAAGATAATAGCTGCCTTATCTCTAAGGAAACTGGTCTTGATTTTATTAACTTACAGGACAGAAGAATAATTGGCACATATCATTGTCCAGAAATGTATTCAACAAAGGTATCTTTCATTGTTTTCTAATGTTTTTATCCTCAGAGACTTAAAATTCAGGTCCTGACCACTTATGGTCATTAAAGATCCCATGGCACTTTTTTATAGCGTGGTCATCTCAACCCCAAGCATCTGGCCAAATACCAATTCGTGTAACTGTTCTGCTTACCTAACATTCCCCACCACCACTCACCCACCCCATAGTTTCAATTGGCTACAGCATTCTCCATTTCCTCGACTAAAATATAACGTATTGTTCTGCACTGTCAGTCACCACATGTAGCCTCAGAGGTGATTGCGCTTCCCTGGGAAGTGAAATGGTTCTCCTTTCTAAAGTTTGTAAAGCGCTTTGGGATCCTTTTGAACGGGCGGTGCTGTGTACAATAAATGTAATTCATTATCATTCTATCTCAGGCTTCACTTAGTTAAAAAAGCATGTTTTATTTAGAGTTGGGCGAACCTGCTTGGTGGAAGTAACACTCCCAGCTCTCCCTAATCTAAAAAGGAACCTTTTGTCAAAGGTTGAAAAGTTAATTTAATTTCTTTCTGGGTTGTTGTTGGTGGTGTTTATTTCTTTGTTTCTTTTATTTTCACATTCATTGTACTTCTGGATTGGAACTTTGGGAGTTCTTCAGATCGGGAATTCAAAATACCATGAAAAATGCAGTTCTTGTTATGGTCAATCTACTGGTCCAGGTACAGGAGAGTCAAATGAGTGTTTGAGAAGCACCTGAACTTTGTGGTGCTTACCTGGCTATTCTAACACTTGAAGGTTCGCCCATCACTAATTTTTACTGTATTTTGCATTATTTCTTCTGAAAAGATCTTGGAATATTGAAAACTGCTGTGCTCCAAATTGATTTCAGTGTGATATGTGCAGAGGACAACACTTTGCCCTAGAATATAGTTTAGAATATTGCTAAATGTTTTCTCTGCCCGGCATCGCTAATCTTACTAACTACTGCTAAGATTACCATATATCTGCAGCAGTTTGCTGTGTTAAGATATTTACTGAAATGAGAACAGAAGTGACAAAAGAATCGGAGCAAAAAGTTAACTGAAGGAGTGATATCACGTTGCTAAAACATGTCTATATCTAGCTCTAGCAGACTAAATTAATTTTCTTGCATTTGTCTTGCATAGAAAGTATACGAGTGCGTAAAGCGCACTCAAATTTCTAATATCATTGCAGATCAAAAGGATAAAATGCTTAAAGTAGATTAATCCTAAGAAGATTTAAGATGTGAACAAATTTGTTTGCACTATAATCTTTCCAAAGATAGTATCGTAGAATGCACAACGTTGAGGTGAAAATAACCCAGGCTCTGGGCAAACCACTGCATTAATGGATGTTATGTCAAACTTCCCCTGATGTCACTAAAATCTCTATTCTTTTCTTAAGGCTATGTGAAACTATGGAAAATGTAGTTTCCAAATGGCTTTGCATCCCTCTTGTAAGATACTTCCCCTATTTTTTTTGACATATTCTCAGGATCAACGAATGCCGA